GTACCCAGCATGTACCTAGCCTGTACCCAGCATGTACCTAGCCTGTACCCAGCATGTACCTAGCCTGTACCCAGCATGTACCTAGCCTGTACCCAGCATGTACCCAGCCTGTACCCAGTCTGTACCCAGCCTGTACCCAGCCCGTACCCAGCCCGTACCCAACCCGTACCCAGCCTGTACCCAAACTGTACTCAACCTGTACCCAGCCTGCATCGATGTGGTCCACCAACGTTACTATCATACAGTATGTGTCTGTGGATTCTCAGTCATCCAGGACATGGAAAGTTAGAAGGAGTGGACTTCTGTTCTGTAGCTGAAGACGTGTGGAGTTATAAGATTTAAGCTGCAGACTGCAGTTACCCTGTAAAACATCAGTGTGTCTGATTTAGTGTCACACAGGCCTGAGTCAGATTTGAAAAAGATCTCATTTGTCACATTCAGACTCTCAGGAAACAATCTGGTATTGGTCACTTTTGCCTGCAATGTGAATGAAGTATGTTTTATATAAATAAAATTTACTTTAGTATGGACTTACATTGATTTGACTGGCAGATAAAGTCATTAGAATTTTTAACCATCTCTTCTTTTGCCTCCACTTGATCCCCTTCAGGTGTTTGTGGTGGGTCCAGACAAGAGGCTGAAGCTGTCCATCCTCTACCCTGCCACCACAGGAAGGAACTTCAGTGAGATCCTCAGAGTCATCGACTCTCTGCAGCTGACGGCACAGAAGAAGGTGGCCACACCTGTCGACTGGAAGGTACAGACTGAAACAAGAGCTGTTTCTGTTTAAAACCACATGGGCGAACACTGRAACAAGACTTTGTCCTGAAGAGGAGACGTTAGGACGGAGGACAAACGGTCCTCCCTCTGTAATCATGAGGATTGTGAAATCATTTGATGTGCAGACCATGAAATGGTTTTTCTTCTTATTTATAATAATAATAATAATAACGATAATAATGATAATAATGATGATGCATCAGTCTTAGAAAGCACTTTTTAGGACACTCAGACTTTACTTTTTTTAAACAAATTTATTCATTTCATTTAAAAACAAAACAAATGCCATACATACAACAAATAATAAAACACAAATAAAATGAAAGGAAGCAGAAAGAAGAGAAAAATTCTTGATATCTGCCCCCTTTTTAAAAATAAATAAATTGAAACAATAGTCTTCAAACAACAAGACATAACAAAAACTTCAACTCGTTCCCGAACAACGGTTCTTATAAAAGCACACTATACAAATTCACATCTCAACAATCTAACCTTCATCATTCTCTTAAATAAAATTATTGAGCCAGTGTTTTTATAATCACTTTCCAGGTTGTTCCGCAATCTTATTCCTTGAGACTGAAGTACATCTTTCCTTCAAATTTGTTTGAATTTTGGGCTTTACAAACATCTCTGTGCCCTTAACAGTGCCGGCTCTAAACATTTTGGTGCCCTAGGCGAGTTGTAGTGCACCCCCCCCCCCAAACTTTGTCCAACCCACCCCAATTTGAACCCCTAAAAACAAGTTTGACAATGTAAGGTAGGATGGTAAACTTAGATTTATTTGCTTTAAACACAAACAGACATCACACAACAAATTAAATGAATAAATAAAGTTAATATAATTAAATCGAAAAACAAGGGTAAAGAAAAGACCCCTTTCACAATTTGTGCAAAGATTTAGAAGGTCCTCTCTTTTTGGAAAATATAAGTCTGATTAGTCATTAGGTCCTCTGCTGACAAACTCACTGTGTCAGAATGGATGTCAGCAGGATCAATGGGCTGCTTTGATAGATTAATAAATTATAATAATAATAAATTAATAAATCTGGGTGTGCTACAGGTGATGCAGTGTCCTCAGGATGTGTAACGGTCTGCTGGTTCCTTTAACTGGAAACGAGAAAGATTGCTTTAAACATTTCATTCTACTGTCTATTGTCTAACTTTAGTACCATTGGGGGGGTTGTTTTATGGGTAGAGTAGTTTATTTTTCCTGTAATACTTCATTATTATTATTTTTTTTAAACAAAGCTAATTGAAAGGGGCGCAGAGCGGATTTAAAACCAGTGGATACAAATAATTACATTTTTTCTGCTGCAGTTCAGTGCCCCCTCCAGCAGATGGCGCTCTAGGCGACCGCCCAGTTCGCCTATGCCTAAAGCCGGCTCTGACCCTTAAGGTTATAATTATTTACTCTCTTAACAAAATTTAATTGAATATTTAGAGGTAATATATTTTTATGAGCTTTATACATAACCTGCAAAGTATTATGATCAACCAACTCATAAAATTTCAATAATTTCAACCGACAATAATATATTTGATGGATGACTGTAATGTTTTCTGGTGATAATTCTTACGGCTCTTTTCTGTAAAAAAAAAAGGGATTTGTAATTGTTTTACATGCTTTCCCCCAGACCTCAACGCAGTAAATCAAATGTGGAAAAAATACAACATAAACAAAGCTTTGTCATTAAGGAAGGCCCTTACTTTATACAATACTGCAATGGATTTGGCTATTTTTGTTCTTAACTGATTTAAGTGGGATTCCCATGTCAGCTTTTCATCAATAACACCCAAAATTATTCATTCATTCCTTGAAGGAATGTATTGCACCAGACAGGCATGGGATTTAAGATTTTAATCTTCAGTTTCAGGAGTCTTTATATTCATTAGCAGTGGGAACTTGTGACACTGGGTCACAGGGAGACGGTCTCAGGTGTGAGCAGGTGAGGTGAGATGGTTGGTTATTAAAATAATCGTTAGGCGCAGGTCTAGATTATTTAGGCTGAGTGGTCTGTTAAATCTCTTCTGTACATGCGTGGCAGTGGACAGCAGGTATGTTGGACCAACAAATGAGTAAATCTTTAACAAAGACAAAGGTGAACTGAGTGGAACGACAGTGAAAACAAACATTTGATTTGTTACTGCAGGAAGTGTGTGTGCTCATGAGTGGAAGCTAAATGTAAAAGTGAACACTGGAGCTGATRATGGATATATTCCTGTTCCACTTTATTACCAACAAGGATTTGGACCTCCAAACGGACCTCCTCATCCGAGGAGTTGAAGTGCACGGAGCCCGCGAGGGGACACGGGGGGATTTTTTTTCTTTTACATTCCCTTGCAATACCTTTGCGTTACCTTGCAATACCTTTGCGTTACCTTGTAAAATTGTCTTGTGTTCCCACGCAAACGTTTTTGTATATGATCTGAATTGAATCAGACTTTTATTTTGAAATATCCGGTTACCAAAACAGGATGTGTCGCCACAAGTTCGTGAAATTGACATTGATGTTGTGTGGCTGCACTGTGTTAAAATATCATCATATGACACACTTCCATGTGTGTCTGTGTGATATGTTCATTCTGAAGCTGAATTAAAGCAGCAGGCTAACTCACTAATGGTGAACATGTGAGTTTGTTAATAAACAGGCAGGAACAACAGTGATAAACTAATTTTGCGAGGGAACGCAAAAGAAAAAAACTCGCCCGTGTCCCCTGGTGGGCTCCGTAGAAGTGGTTCCTGTTTGTCTGTTAGAAAACTTTACTGCACGTGGGCCTCGGCTCAACTTGGAAATGATTAACTTCTGATCTTTTTCAAGGATTCAACCCGACCTAACCCCTCCCCTCTCCTCATTCTTGAAGTATTAATAACACACTTAGCCCCCGCCCCCAACTTTTTTGTTTGTTTTGTTTTAAACTATAAGGGCTTGTCTTTTCCCGATGTCCAGTTGGACATAAAGCTGTGGACATCTTGTGCAGCTCTTGAGGGTTTAAAATGTTCCAAACGTCACATGATGAAATGTTTGGGTCATAAGACCCTCCTGCTGTGTTCACATCATCACAGAACCTGCGTCTGATCACGTGATGTAACTACACTCTGTTTTCTTCTCCTCCTCTCAGCCTGGTGATAAGGTCATGGTGGTTCCCTCGCTCTCTGACTCTGAGGCCGCCGCTCTCTTCCCCAATGGGGTGACGACTAAAGAAGTGCCTTCTGGGAAAAACTACCTGCGCTACACTCAGATCTGAAAACCAAGAATACATCTGCTGTTCAGTTTGCCTTTACCTTTTTAAAATGCTGTTTGTAAACCTAACCAGCAAAAAAAAAACATTGTCCTGTTATCCCAAAGAATCAACATGTAGTCACTGTAGAACGCAGTTTTCACCTGAAATAAACAACTTTCACATTCACTGCCTTGAACTTTTTATAGTGTTTTAATGTTATGGAAAGTATAAAGATTTTATAACMAGTTCCCAACAAACACCACTGGAGGTCCTCCTAGAACAGTAGAATAGAAACTTTCTGCTTTTATTGCAGTACTGCCTTTCCATCAGTAGGTGGTGCTACATGCATAGATTATCCAAAGACTTAAAAATAAAGATCACCAGACTGAGCCCCGCCCACACCGGCCACTGTTACCTCTGACATCATGGAGGAGCAGAAACACCAAACRGGACAMCAGCTCACAGCAAACATAGAAACTAACAGATAAACAGCAGCTGAACTGGATCTGTTTCACACATTATCTGTCATGTTTTTACAATAAATTAATAATT